CGTTCTGTTTCTACAAGTTTACTTTTTCTTATTATAACAACATCTGATATATTATTTTTACTTATGAGTCTGTATGATTTTCTTCTTATTAATATTGGTATACCTCAATTAAGTCCTTATTATGTTCCATTATGTCGATTTCGAACATTTATACTCAATTTTACTCAAACAACATCAGCTTGGCTCTTAGTATGTACTGGCATCGATCGACTTATTCGTGCTCGTTTACCACATCAAACAAAACGATGGTGTACAAGAAAAAATGTTATAATAGTTAGTGTCATTATTATTCTATTTTCAATAGCATTTAATAGTCATGTTCTTCAACAATCTTTTGGAGTTGCATTTCCATTTTCTCTTGTTATTTGTGGCCCGTCAAAAATCACTCAGAGTGGTTATAATACATTCTATTATATCACTTGGCCTCCTTTACAAATTGGTGTAAATATTTTAATACCTGCATTGTTAATGGTAATCTGTATTCTTGGTATTTATCAACAAATACGAACTACAGGACATGTCCGTCGAAATCAAAATCTTCAAAATCAAATGATTCTTCTTATGTTCACAAAAATTATCTTGTTTCTAATATGTACATTGCCTTATGGTGTTTATCGTATGGCAACAATCAATTCAGTCGATCCAAATAAAGCAGTAGCATATTCCGTATTCATATTTATCACAGCTATATTGACCATACTATTAAATGCAAACTATTCTTTAACATTTTATTTAAATTGTCTGACATCATCTTTATTTCGACAAACATTAATCAAAACTGTAAAAAATTGTGTCCTACGTCGGAATGTAGTTCAACCGTTTGTGAGTGGTACAGAACAATAGAACAGCTTATATATTCAATATGTATGTGGAATCATATAGTTAGATGTTCTGTAAATCCTGTTGTAAAAGTATCATTTTAATCTTTTCAATACTTATTTGTCTTATTTATGTCCAGTAATACTATTTGGTTTGCTCAAAACATTATTTATCATATATGTAAACGAATCAAATATTAATATCTATTTGTAAATGCTTTAATTAAACAAAAAATATCATTACCAAATATGAAAAAAACAGAAATTAACTTTATCGCTTGTAAAACTATATGTCATGATGTATCATTTTTTTCTAAACCTATTTGAACTATTTAACGTTTATATATTGTATTCTTCACCAAAAAATAAAACTACTCTTAAAAACAATAAATATTCTTTATTATTACTCACATTTTGTGACTAAAAATTAAACGAGATATTTTACTATGTATTCATGTAATAAAACGTAACATATCGTGGTGAGAACTTTTGCACTACTGTCAAATAGATATTGATTAAAAGTTCTTTGAGTTCCTAACAAATACTAAAACTAATCATGTACTTTTGTTTTAATTGCGGGTTTATATTCTGAATAATTTTAATCTGAGAGAAATAAAAGTACAAGTCACATAGATGAATCTAACCAATAAATTATTAGTAGAATCTTAGAATAAAATCTTTCAAATATAGTGCATGTCTGCCAAACACTATGATAGTTCTTATTTAATCCAACATCTGTTAACAATCAAAGAGAAAAATATTAGAAACCACCCGAAATGCTGAGTTTGTCTGTGAGTGATATGATTAAGGATAGATGTGACTAGTAGCGTATGTTGGATTTTGGCAGTGGTTCGCCGGTCGTAGAATACACAAGAAAATTTGGCTTTCAGGTATAAAATGACTGGTTAGACGAAAAGACCTTGCGGTTGAACAACGTCCAATCCTGGATACGCCACTGGATATGACCGATACTGTAAAACCTTAATTTCAGTCATAAAATAATAATTATCATTTTCTTGTATATAAATAATCCAATAAGTATTTCTACGTTAAGGTCAATTCTCTCAGTTATCAGTTTCTTTAACATATGCTTGACATGTTAAGTCGGTTGTTGAATATTTAACACAATAATCAAACCATGGAAGTTTTAAATCACATTCATTATTAATCATAAAATGAAAACAATTCGTATTATTATTTGAATATGTTAAACATGAACAATGAGTTAATTCATTTGATTGTTTATTTTTTAAATTCCATTTATATTCATGTGGTAAAATACTTAATGAATGATTATTACATTTGATTTGTTGTGTATGATTACAATATTTAACTAATTCATCATTTCGACGTATGATTTGTTGTTTAGGTATTGAGAAATAATCAATGGGTAAACAAGAAAGTATATGAAAACCTAAACAATTTCTTGATTTAATATTCTTTTGTATTTCTAATTGATAAGTTTTCGAATAGATTTCAACATAATAAATTTCAATATTTGTATTCAAACATTGTAAACCATTTGATAAATGAATTGGATACCAATATTTTTTATGTAATAAACAATGTTTCGGATAAGAATATTTTTGAAAAAAGAAAATTAATAAAATAAAAATAATGAAATATACGTAAAAAGATAAATAAGAATAATTAACTGCAATTTTATATGCTAATTCATCGTAATTGTTCAATTGATTATCAAGTCAGTGAAGTCAGACGTGTAAAACGATATGAACAAGGTTTTATAACTGATCCACTTGTTCTTGCACC